CAATAGCAGCAGCAGCAATAGCAGCAGCAGCAGCAGCAGCAATAGCAGCAGCAGCAGCAGCAATAGCAGCAGCAGCAGCAGCAATAGCAGCAGCAGCAGCAGCAATAGCAGCAGCAGCAGCAGCAAGCAGCAATAGCAGCAGCAGCAGCCAGCAGCAAGCAGCAGCAGCAGCCAGCAGCAATAGCAGCAGCAGCAGCAGCAATAGCAGCAGCAGCAGCAGCAGCAATAGCAGCAGCAGCAGCAGCAATAGCAGCAGCAGCAGCAGCAGCAATAGCAGCAGCAGCAGCAGCAATAGCAGCAGCAGCAGCAGCAGCAGCAGCAGCACCAATAGCAGTAGCAGCAGCAGCAGCACCAATAGCAGTAGCAGCAGCAGCAGCACCAATAGCAGTAGCAGCAGCAGCAGCACCAATAGCAGTAGCAGCAGCAGCAGCACCAATAGGAGTAGCAGAAGCAGCAGCACCAATAGCAGTAGCAGCAGCAGCAGCACCAATAGCAGTAGCAGCAGCAGCAGCACCAATAGCAGTAAGCAGCAGCAGCAGCAGCAGCAGCAGTAGTGGGCACGGATGCATGCAAAGCAGCGAGGGTGATTGTCACAGTGCTCAGCCTAATTACCACCCAACATACAACTGTACCAGCTCAATATACAACTGTCAAATACATTAGAAACCATTATATTGCACACTCTCTGCCATTCTGAGATAGTGCAATATTAAAAAAACATAACACCTGTATGCAAATGAAGTATTATTACTATACTATCATTACCCTTATTGCTATTATTATTATTATAATATAATGTACGTGCACTGTATATGTTATATCCAAACGTAAAGAATTTTTTCCTGTACTCACCAACTATGTGTAGAGAGAAGTACACACAAAGTAAGTCAGGCAGCATTAAGAAGAGCATAATACTGATGAGAATTGTAAATTTTACAATTTTGCATTTTGAGTTTTTTCCTGAGAAAACGACTGACAATTTGTAACAAGTAGACAATTATAAATTTAACCAGCAAATGTATTTTTATATCCAATGGGGTTTAAATGGTAAGCAATTTAGACCTGAGCAAGAAATAAATAGAGCCAATACTTATGTTGTTTAAAACTTGATCCAAGACCCGCTTCTAATTTTCTGGGGTCAATAAGTACAGAATTTACAACCAGTGTCTTCAATACATTGTAATTTCTGCCAAAAATAATATGCAGTGCACGTTGGTAGGTATAAAATTTATCAGCGTGATACTGAGGAACATCAGAAAGTCACTGACCTCAGTGAGTTATATTCAGTCAGTGATGACCTGTTTATGACGAACTCAAAACAGTTTACTTAAAGTTATAAACTGAATATGATTCATTAAGAGTAGAGAGCAAATAGAAGCAGTGAGTCACTGTAGGTGCTGTAATATTAACTTCTAAGAAAATTAAAGGAATCTGAATCCAAAGTTGGGCAGTCCTGAGATCACCATTTTTGCTATATTCAGGGAGAAGAACTAAACTTGTGAAGATTACATAACATCTGGGGAACGGAAGGTTGTCAAATTTGATCCAAGGGGGTGGAGGGGTAGCTCCAGCTCCTAGGAATAACAGCCTTTCTCAACATCAAGGAACACTTTCCTCCTAAAAGCTCCAATGGCAGATCATCATCTGACTAAGACTTGCATCAGGAAACACCTGTCCTGTTTCCTGACGAACTTTACCTAACCTAACCTTTCCTTACCTAACCTTACCTAATTTAACCTGATCTAACTTAACCTTTCCTTACCTAACCTAACCTTTCCTTACCTAACCTAACCTAACCTAACCTTTCCTTACCTAACCAAACCTAACCTGACCTAACCTAAACTAACCTGACTTGACCTAACCTAACCTTTCCTTACCTAACTGAACCGAACCTAACCTAACCTGACTTGACCTGACCTAACCTGAACTAACCTAACCTAACCTAACCTAACCTGACCTAACCTAACCTTTACCTGACCTAACCTGACCTAACTGAACCTAACCTGACCTAACCGAACCTAACCTAACCTAACCTGACCTAACAAAACCTAACTTAACCTGACTTGACCTAACCCAACCTAAACTAACCTAACCTAACAACTGACCTAACCTAACTTAACCTGACCTAACTTAACCTGACCTAACCTGACCTGACCTGACCTAACCTAACCTGACCTAACCTTACCTAACCTAATATGACCTAACCTGACCTAACCTTTCCTTATCTAATCTAACCTAACCCAACCTAACCTAACCTAACCTGACCTAACCTGACCTGACCTAACCTAACCTAACCTTACCTAACCTAACTAACCTGACCTAACCTAACCTCACCTAACCTAACCTAACCTGACCTAACCTGACCTGACCTAACCTAAACCTTACCTAATCTAACCTTTAACCATACCTAATCTAATCTAACCTAACCTGACCTAACCTGACCTAACCTAACCTGACCTAACCTGACCTAACCTAACCTAACCTGACCTAACCTGACCTGACCTAACCTTACCTAATCTAACCTAACCTAACCTAACCTTAACCTTAACCTAACCTTACCTACCTAACCTAATCTAATCTAATCTAACCTAACCTTTCCTTATCTAAACTAACCTAACCTGACCTAACCTAACCTGACCTAGCCTAACCTAACCTTACCTAACCTAACCTAACCTAACCTAACCTAACCTGACCTGACCTAACCTAACCTTTCCTTAATTAAACTAACATAACCTTTCCTTATCTAATCTAACCTAACCTTTTGTTATCTAATCTAACCTGATCTAACCTGACCTAACCTGATCTAACCTGACCTAACCTGACCTAACCTAACCTGACCTAACCTGACCTAACCTAACTTAACCTGACCTAACTTAAACTGACCTAACCTGACCTGACCTGACTAACCTGACCTGACCTAACCTGACCTAACCTTAACCTAACCTGACCTAACCTGACCTAACCTAACCTAACCTTTCCTTATCTAATCTAACCTAACCCAACCTAACCCCTTTAACGCTAACCTACCTGACTAACCTGACCTGACCTAACCTAAACCTAACCTTCCCTAACCTAACCAAACCTGCCCTAACCTAACCTCCCCAAACCCTAACCTAACCTGACCAAACCCTGACTGACCTAACCTAACCTAAACCTTACCTAATCTAACCTAACCATACCAAATCTAATCTAACCTAACCTAACCTGAACCAAACCTAACCTAACCTGACCTAACCTGACCTAACCTAACCAAAACCGGGACCTAACCTGACCTAAACCTTACCTAATCTAACCTAACCTAACCTAACCTAACCTAACCTTAACCTTACCAAACCCTAACTAATCTAATCTAACCTAACCTTTCCTTATCTAAACTAACCTAACCTGACCTAACCTAACCTGACCTAGCTAACCAAACCCGTACCTAACCTAACCAAACCAAAACACTAACCTGACCTGACCTTAACCTTTCCTTAATTAAACTAACATAACCTTTCCTTATCTAATCTAACCTAACCTTTTGTTATCTAATCTAACCTGATCTAACCTGACCTAACCTGATCTAACCTGACCTAACCTGACCTAACCTAACCTGACCTAACCTGACCTAACCTAACCTAACCTCCCCTAACCTAACCTAACCTAACCTCCCCTAACCTAACCTAACCTAACCTAACCTCCCCTAACCTAACCTAACCTAACCTTCCCTCCATCTGAAGGGAATGGATCACCAGCCAGATTATGGGGTCTCAATCCTCCTCACTTAGATAGTTTACAATTAAGGTGAGTTTCTCAGTGCTTCAATTTTGATTTAGATTTTCTCAGTGTTTCAATTTTGAATTAGATTTTCTCAGCGCTTCAGTTTTGAATTAAATTTTCTCAGTGCTTCAATTTTGAATTCAATTTTCTCAGTGCTTCAATTTTGAATCCAATTTTCTTAGTGCTTCAATTTTGAATTAGATGTCTTGAAGTTATCATGCTGAATTAAGCATTAAAAAACCACATTAGCTGAACAGTTACATAACAAAACAGTTTAATAATGTTCATATACAGTGGACCCCCGGTTTACAATATTATTTCCTTCCAGTAGTATGTTCAGGTGCCAGTACTGACCGAATTTGTTCCCATAAGGAATATTGTGAAGTAGATTAGTCCATTTCAGACCCCCAAACATACACGTACAAACGCACTTACATAAATACACTTACATAATTGGTCGCATTGGGAGGTGATCGTCAAGCGGGGGTCCACTGTATTAGTAAACCCTCAATTTAATGGACTTCAGAAACATGAGAGAAAAATTGCTAGGTCACCTAACTTGGAAAGAATTGGCAAAATTTGTTGGTCACAGA